GAAAAAAGAAAGGAAGGGAAGGGGAGAGGGAGGGAGGGAGGGAGGGAGGGAAGAACTGAGTTATAAATAATTCTTATATAAGCTGAATAAGTGTTCAAAGCAGAATCTAGACCAGTACTTAGGCTGTCAGATCAGAACTTTCCTGGAGGCACTGGTATGACACAGGGACCCTGCATCCAAACCAAAGCACTTCAACAATACAAAAAGAAATCTATCTTAGCAATCACAATAATCATTTTCATTTCGTGGAAAGAAGGGGAAAAGAAAGAAAGAAGAAAAAGAGAAAGTTTGTCACATTTTGTTGTTACGAACTAGGATGACGCTTAAACACATTCCCAAAGCCTACCTTCTGGATACCAAGGCTGTGTGTGAGCAGGCCATTCTTTCTCTTCACGGCAAAAGGATTTGTAATCAGGACAGCAATCAGAATTTTCCCTTTCACAGAATTTATCACAGTAACACAATGCATTCGCCTCATAGAACTGAGTGACACAGTCATCATCTCTGTCTTCACAACAACCAAAATTTCTACAGTATTGCCCTTGGAAAATGGCTCTTTTGAATCGAGTACCTTCCAAAATGGTGTGATTCCTAGCGAAATAAGCTCCTAGGTCAACTTCTCTTTGAGAGAAATACTGCCTCTCCATCCAAATTTCTGTAGTAAAGTAAGATAAGATCAGGATCTTATATCCGGTCCACATTCTCAGGATGTCAGGTACAGCTTCCACCTTCTGTTATATCCAATACCCTTGGCCTTGGGCCCTTCTCCTTGGAGCTTGAATTCTAATCATCAAAACACCTCAGCCTGAACCCTGAAACTGATCCTTTACTTGAACTGAGTATATGTCTTGTAGTTAAACATTAATCAAGAATTTCAATGTTTGCTGAAGTGTTAGAAATAGATTATTATTCCTCCAGAGTTAAAAATTTATAATATTTCATGTAAAGTAAAAACCTTGCATCATCAAAATATCTGTACAAAATCTTATACACAGAGATACATTGACTATTGCTTGTTCCTTAAAAAAATCTAGCTTCTTAAATCAAAAACCTCCCTGGAATCTACATGGCCCAAATTATGGCTGTAATAACTATTGGCAAGTTGTAGGAAATTCCAAAGTCAAAAACGCAATTATTCATTTCACCTATTTCCACTGCAACTAAAACCCAGGCTCTCATCAGGCTTCCTCCTAGGATCTGTCATATCAATAACAGTTGCTCTAAATCATGCCTGGTCACACACTGGCTTGATTTCCCATCTGTACTCCATTTACCTACCAGAAGCATCTTGATTTCAAGGCTTAGTGGAGCCTAATTCAGCTGGAAATTCCCTGAGGGTGACCTTAGTTCTCTCCACCTGAGTCCCTACTTAGCATCAATGTGGAAACCTTCAGTGGAAAGGCAATTTATGGTCAAGAAAAGTCAACACACAGTGCTAACAAGTGGTGGGGGGAAGGAGTTGTGAAGGAAACTCAAAGGTCAAGATGTCTTTAGTGTTTCTGTGGAGCTGCGCATTTACAATGGGCTTTTCTATACAGTGTTTATTCATTAACTGCAATAACTCCCTTTGGATTAAGGATAAGTAACCAGCAGATGATGATTCAGCACGAGTGGCTTAGTGGACTGGTGGAAAAGACCTGTCTTGGCAATCAGAAAACCTGAACTCTGGTCCCCAAGCTACTGTTTAATTGCTTCAATGACCTCGAGTGCACCATTTACTTCTCTGATCCTCAGTTATTTTTCTATAAAATGAGGATCTTCCTCTCCAAAGCTATTTCATAATTCTGACCCTTCAACTTGTTCCCTGACCTTGCTTCATATTCTGTTCAACTCGCACCTTTATATCTTCATCGTGTTGCTTCCTTTTGACATCTTCCTCTTGGGCTGTAAACCAGTGTTAGTCTCTCTCTCTTTTTTAAATTCTGTATCATCTTGGTGTCACTATTCGTAATCCCCTTGCCTCTTCAATCCAACACCTGCCAGTTCCTCTTCTGTGCTATCTACTGAGTCACTAAACTTCTGCAAAGTACTGTCTACATTCCCACCTACTTATGCCAATGACCTCCTAACATCCAATTCCCATGGACCTGTGCCCATCCTTATCACACATGCATCGTCTGTAGCATTCAGAGAGGGTAAATCTTAAGAGTGCTCACCAAAAATGAAAGAAAGAAAGGAAGACATAAAAAGAGACAGTAATAGAGGGAGAAGAAAGAGAAAATGGAAACATGTGAGGTGATCTATATGTTCACAAGCTTGATTGTGGTGATTATTTCACAATGTATATGTACACCAAAACACCAAGTTGTTTACTTTAAGTATATACAATATGTCTTCTATGCTTTCATTCTCTCCTGATTCTTGTCCCATTCTTCATAACATCGCTAATTTATCTGCTCACTCTTGGACTCACTTCCTTCCCTTCCCAATCAGCGATCATTTGAAATATGCTTTCACTAACTTTTACAACCCTTTCCCCTGCCCAGTCCTCATACTTAATCTTAACCTTAAACTTCCAACCCCTCAATCAACATAAAAGCCATGGGCTATGAGACCCTATCCAAGGACCCCCAATCTTGTTATCTCTCTGACCTTAATTTATACCATTTTACCCCATGCTTATATTCGTCCAGTCATCACAAAAGGTTTCTTGCCATTTCTCAGACATACCAGGGACACTCCTGTCTTAGCACCTTCACACTTACTGTCCCAACTGCCTAGAATATCCTTTCCCAGATATCTCACATGGCTTCATCTCTTTCTTGTCTTTTCTTTCAAATGACGCCTTCTCAGAGAGGTCTTTCCTACCGTCCCTATGTGAAACAAAAACTCTTCTTCTGCCCTAGCACTCCTTATTTTCATTCTTTGTACTTATCACTAATGTACTATAATTTTATTCATTGGCCTTGTGTATTTTCTGCATTTCCCCTCCAGAATGTAAGCTCCACAAGAGCAGAGAATTTTTTTCTATTCTGTTCATTGTTTTATCTCCAGCTCCTAGAACACTGAATGAGCTGGAGATAAAACATAGTAGGCTCTCCATACATATTTATTCAATAAATGAATCAATCCTGCAACTTTCATTTTTAACCTTTACCTTCTATATTGAGTACTACTGTAAATGATGTACTACACCATACGATTGGTGCTACCATGAATTTGGGGTTTTTTGTCTTAGTTGATCTTCTTAAATGTTGCTCATATTTCTCCAATTTGTCTTTGCTTTCCCTTAGTGACTGTTACAAATCTCCTTGCTTTTCTAACTCACTTCCTCACTTTCTAGAAATGAACTTCTCCCAGAGGTTGCCAAGAAAACAAAGATAGAAAATGTCAATCCCACAGTCTCCTGTCATCAAACTCATAAATCTATCTACATTTGCAGTCGTCTTTTCATCTTCCTTCCAGACTCAGATGATAAAGTCTCATTCTGTTCCCAGATAATTCTTTCATTTATGATTTTTAGTCTGCCATCTTATTATCCTTACCTCTTAGTACCCATACATCTTCAGCCTCTCCCTCATCCAATTCCTTCAATTCATTAGTAGGATCGCAGCAGAGATTGTTGTTCCCCCACCCATATTCCCACCATCCTTACCTTGGTTCAAATGGCTGGAACTCAAACTATGTGAAGTATTTACTAGCCAGAGC